GATCTATTGTTCAGAATGATGGTTAAATTGATGGGGATATTATCAGCAGTAATTCAAGTTGGATGGTTGAAGTCAGTATTTGCTCAGGATTTGCTCGGTATTGCTAGGTATTTGCTCGGTATTGGTTATTGCCGAGCAAAATCGACCAATACCTAGCAATACCGAGCAATCTTGGGTCCGTTCCAGGTCGGGTTGTCGGGGCACGCGGTAAATAATGAAAACTCGTGGCGCGATTCTACTTGCGGCCGAACGTAGAGTTGCGTACATTCACCAGACCAAATAAAAGTTCCTTCAGAACAATAGAGGTTCAAATTGCTCCTAAGAATTAGTTTGAGATCACCATTCTTAGTCTCATTTGCATATACTTCAACTTTTGCTTTGAATTTCAGCCTACTCATGGAATTTTCCAAGCATCCCCCCTACTAAATTCTCATTCCAATCCTCCTAGTGTTAATCTTGAGGCTCTCGGCTAGATTTATGGTCAAAATAACCACAATATCCCTTCAGATCCTAGGATTATTTAGTGATTTCTAACTAAATGTTCTAGCTACATGGCCAAACCTCTTTTATAGATTTTTTTTCATTAAACCATTTATAATTTGTTCATAAAATTGCTATTGGAGTAGGTTAGCTGACTTTGAACCCTAGCTTGGCCCAATAAGACTCACTCAGGACAATATAAACCTATAACTTATTATTGTATAAATGAACCTTGGTTTGTCTGTTGAATGTCATATAACATTGTTAGAAACTCAATAAATGCTAATAAACTTTTGGCAGATTCAATAGACTCATTGAACAAATTGAATCCAAATTGACCTATTTGAGCATATATGATTAATCCACCAAATTTAACTAATTTATTCAAATTGATTGATCCAATTGTCTTAGAAAAGTTTTAATAGGTCAATTATAAATGCCTTGATCTCAACCATCTCTTAAATAGTCCTAATCGTTCACTTAGCCACAATTGGCTCAATTCCGACAGTGATGAATGCATTAACATTAAATAGAAGTAATGGAACTTCAACATAAGTTTTGACGTAGATATTTATAGTACATATATAGCTAGCTATTAAATTAATTTATTTGAATAAAAAAATAATATGAAAGTGATTTAATCATAAATAAATTTTTGTACTTATCTCCCAAAAAAATTAATAAAGGATCTCCAATTTCCACTATTATGGGACACTTAAAGACAAGAACAAATTTTAAAAATAGATGAAATAAATAATTTAATTATTGAAAATTAAAATTTAAAAATAGAGAAGTTTTTCATTTAAGGGGCAACTTACTACTGCCGTGGCAAGCAAGAATGGTTGGCTCGAACCCACCCAATATTAATAAATCCGAACCCAACCTATGTATTAAATGGGTCGATCCGAATCAAGATTTTTTAGATCGGGTCTAGGTTTAATTTTTTGGTCGTGTCATATGTTGACACCCCTAAAAGGATGTAGTTATTTTTCAAGATCCTAAGTAGAATCACATACATATTTTATGATTTATCTCTCATCACTTAAAAAAATAAAAAAGTAAAAAGTAAAAGATGTTATTTAAAATATCTCAAATAATCTTATTCCTTCAATTGGCTTTAATTAACTAAGAGGTCTTGGGTTCTAGTCTTGCATATGTGTGAGTTTAACTTAATTGGTCTAAACGTACAAAAAAAAAAAAATACTCTGCCCAAACAATGTTAATCAACAAAAGCACAAGCAAGATTGTCGTAGCATCAAAGCTGGTGGAAGGTTAGTGTGGTCGGGGTTCTATACTAATAATTAAAAAATAATAAAATATATTTTTACTTTATTTAATTATTTATTTAATTATCTTTTTAATTTATTTTTTATTTTTACTTTCAATTAAAAGGTCTATGCAATTAGCATTTTTATTGTATCAATAATATTAAATATTAATTATTCATATGTTATATTTCTTTCAAATTGACCTTTGGGTTCTACCACTTTGCTAGGATTTACCAAAGACTTTGGGTGTACTCAAGATTTTTTTAGGGAGGTTTGACGACTACACATGAAAAACAGGGCCTCACAATTAATCCTTAAATGAGTAAAATTTGATTTGATTCAATAATATGTGATGTACATAGGTCTATACATGTTTAATTGTGGATTAGTGCATAATTAATTTCTTTTCTCTTTTAAGCTGGTTGGAATCCTAGTAAATGCATGATTAAACTCTAGTTAATCAAAACTTTAATTACTTCCTGATGTTCATCTTCTTAGGGATCCCAAATTGTTAAAAATCATATTTCTAATCTTTTCCAGAATTACATTCATGTTATTCTTACAGTGTTACAGTCAAAATGATCATAAAGTTCGCACTCAAAGAAGATAGATTTCTGATGCACTTGATCTTGAGCAGAGTTAAAATAAAGTAATCATTAATTCTTCCATTACTTAGTTTATAGATAATAAAATCCTTTTAAAAACTTTCAGAGATACTCAAATGTTGATATTGAAATATCAACACTTTGATAGAGGTTCAAATTGCTCCTAAGAATTAGTTTGAGACCCCCATTCTTAGTCATTTATTTTAAGAAATTTTTTTTAATTACGTACTTCATTTCTGTATGATATTTTAACAAATATTTTAATTAGTTTTAAGATCTCGAATTTATTTTAATATAAAAAAATATATATGTAATAAATACTATATTAATTTTAAACAATATTTTAATTATTTATTAATAAAATATTCCTCAAATATTTTTTTTTTTTTTCGTCTTCACTTTCGTCAATCTTATCAGCCTTAGCCCAACTAAACCTCCAATAATGTAAACTTGACTTTCATCATATCTTTCCAAAGAATCACCAATCAAAAAAATTGTTAGTTTATATTGACTCTTTTATCATATCATTCTTAGCAGACTTGACTTCACTTTACAGACTTGCTTATATACTTGTTAGTCAAATTAATTGCTTTATTTTAAGATATATTTTTTTAAATTATGTACTAAGAGTTTTATTTCTGGATAAATATTTTAGAAAAAAAAAAAAAAAAAAAAAAAAAAAAAGGAGAATTGATTTGCTATTCATTTTAGTCTATATTTGACTCTTTTATCAGCTTGCTCTGAGGAGACTTGACTTCACTTCGAGACTTACCAATATAATTTTACGTCTTCTTTATTATTAATACAA